GGTGACATGATTGAGGTGAACAAGTGGTTGAATGTACATAACAATGGGGGGTTATTAATACGGTATTAAAAATATCAACACAAGACAACACGAAACAATGGGGGGTATAAATTGAATAAGTTTAGATTTAGGAAAGACCTGGGTAAATACTGGTTCGGTAACAGGGTTGTAGATTTGTGGAACCAATTACCCCGTAACATAATATAAGTAGGATCACTTGATTGTTTCAAGCGTAGGTTAAACATATATATGAATGAGATTAGGTGGTTATGAACAGGAGCTGCCTCGTATCGGCCAATAGGCCTTCTGTAGTTACCTTTATTTTTATGTTAATATGGTGAGGCTGTATACAGTTTATTGTAGTGAAGCAGCCCCTAGGCCACCAGCCTCACAGACACGACCTTAGGACGACTGACAGACCACCACGACCCCACAGAACACGCCCCTCACCACGACTGACAGACCAACAATACCTCACAGACACGACCCTTAGGACGACTGACAGACCAACACGACCCCCACAGACACGCCCCTCACCACGACTGACAGACCACCAATACGTCACAGACACGACCCTTAGGACGACTGACAGACCAACACGACCCCACAGACACGCCCCTCACCACGACTGACAGACCAACAATACGTCACAGACACACCCTTAGGACGACTGACAGACCAACACGACCCCACAGACACGACGCCCCTCACCACGACTGACAGACCACAATACGTCACAGACACGACCCTTAGGACGACTGACAGACCAACACGACCCCACAGACACGCCCCTCACCACGACTGACAGACCAACAATACGTCACAGACACGACCCTTAGGACGACTGACAGACCAACACGACCCCACAGACACGCCCCTCACCACGACTGACAGACCAACAATACGTCACAGACACGACCCTTAGGACGACTGACAGACCAACACGACCCCACAGACACGCCCCTCACCACGACTGACAGATCAACAATACCTCACAGACACGACCCTTAGGACGACTGACAGACCAACACGACCCCACAGACACGCCCCTCACCACGACTGACAGACCAACAATACGTCACAGACACGACCCTTAGGACGACTGACAGACCAACACGACCCCACAGACACGCCCCTCACCACGACTGACAGACCAACAATACGTCACAGACACGACCCTTAGGACGACTGACAGACCAACACGACCCCACAGACACGCCCCCTCACCACGACTGACAGACCAACAATACGTCACAGACACGACCCTTAGGACGACTGACAGACCAACACGACCCCACAGACACGCCCCTCACCACGACTGACAGACCAACAATACCTCACAGACACGACCCTTAGGACGACTGACAGACCAACACGACCCCACAGACACGCCCCTCACCACGACTGACAGACCAACAATACGTCACAGACACGACCCTTAGGACGACTGACAGACCAACACGACCCCACAGACACGCCCCTCACCACGACTGACAGACCAACACGACCCCACAGACACGCCCCTCACCACGACTGACAGACCAACAATACCTCACAGACACGACCCTCACCACGACTGACAGACCAACACAGACTGACAGACTCAGCCAACATCTGACATACACACAGTACCCAACTTCATATATTGCATACCTTACCAATTTGCAATCTGTTTAATTGATATAATCGCAATATTTACATTACATAGTTCAATGCATTTAAAATAAGGTTCAGTTATAGTTCTCTCAGTAATAGATTTACATACAGTAATTTGGAAATTAATCCAGGTAATTGGATGGCCTGACTCTGTATAATGAATAAACAGTGTATGAGAATACTGACCTTAACTATACTGAGGTTTTCTCATTTCTCTCTACACTGAACCCCATAATATATATATATATATATATATATATATATATATATATATATATTATATATATATATATATATATATATATATATATATGGGGCGGGGTGGTGGAAGTCTTGGTTTTATTATTCATGGTCACGTCGCTGTGTTTGTGTATGCCAGCAATTTTTTTTTTTTTTAATTGTTTGTTTTCCGGTGGAAGTTTAGCCGCGTGGTGTTTGTGTTGTCTTGCGGAAAATGTGTGTTTGTTCTGAGACGAGATGTGTCGCATACTGCGAGGTGCGCCTCAGTATTGAGTGTGTGTGTGTGTGTATAATTACCTGAGTGTAGTTACAGGATGAGAGCTACGCCACTTGTTGGACGAGTTGCTTGTGTCGGACGAGTGGTACTTCAATGACGGAGATAAACGACAACATTTGCAAATAAACGAAACCAACAGCACGTGAACATTGGAAAATCAACACGAATATCAACACACAACATGGCTGCACCACACACACACACACACACACACACACACACACACACACACACACACACACACACACACACACACCACACACACACACACACACACACACACACACACACAATTACACAATTACAGTCACAACTAGGTGAGTACAATTAGGTGAGTACACACTCAACACGCAAACACAAAACAATAACAAAAAACGGAAGAAGCTGTAAAAATAAATAATAATAGATGCGTGCGTGAGACTTGCTAGAACCCTACACGAAATGGGCACAAACCTATGTACGGAATTTGACAGGAATATGTGACGGTTCTTGAAAGGTTGTAAATTGGACGCGAGAAGAAGACCCAGGCGAGAGCGCCTATTGTAATGGGGGCTGTTGTTGTTGTTTAAGATTCGCTACTTGGAGCCACAAGTTCTAAGTAGCACGGGCTATGGTGAGCCCGTAGTGGACTTATTAATGGATCAGTCACGAGATGTCTGGTCGACATATTTGGTCAAGGCAAGAATACCCTACGCCACCCAAAGCAACTCAAAGCCTCTTTGAATTACGAAAGAAGAAATATGACACCTTTTTTCCAGCAAATATTGAATGTGAAACGTGACAAAATATAATTTTCACCGGAAATAAACACATAACGAAATAAGAAAATAGGTGGTTATATAGCGACCTATGTCAAGGAGGAGGTGAACTAGAATCAAATCACCAATAACTCCTCAAGGATAGTTTATCGAATCTTGCTTAGCAGTCTTCTTACAGAGTTCCTAAGAACCTCCGTGACACAGCCAGTTAAGAATAACATGACCCTTAGTGACTCCACCTCGTGGCTTCTAACTCCGCTGCACTGCCTTGTTATTTGTGATGATCTCGCGAAGCAATACCTTAGTTACCCCTCGCATGGTATACCAAAGAAAACCGAAACCCGTTTTCTTTAGCAAAAAACAAAACAAAGATGGCTGACATGTGAAAATTATATTATTGTCATTTGTCTTCGCTGTAGCTCGAGAAATGCGACCGGGAAAATATGAACAAAAAATAAATAAATGCAGGGAGGTCTTTACTGCTTATTTTGTTGAAAGGAATCTGCAGAAGTAACAGTGGAATGTTTGACACTTGCTGGCAAGTTTTAATATGAGTTATAACGTGATATTGTGTGGTTTAAGAACAGAGTAATGGGTTTAAGAACAGGGTAATGGGTTTAAGATCAGGGGGAATGGGTTTAAGAACAGGGTAATGGGTTTAAGAACAGGGTAATGGGTTTAAGAACAGGGTAATGGGTTTAAGAACAGGGTAATGGGTTTAAGAACAGGGTAATGGGTTTAAGAACAGGGTAATGGGTTTAAGAACAGGGTAATGGGTTTAAGATCAGGGGGAATGGGTTTAGGAACAGGGGAATGTCACCAGACGCCCAGATCAAGCGACTATCATCAACTGCCCGAAACGCTTTGCGTAATAGTGGCTTTAGGCATTGTATGTACTAGCTCTATCTATAAATCCATCAATCTTTGTAAAATCTCTTGTATGTATGTATGTACCTTACCTAAATAAACATTTATTTATTATTTATTAACTGGACGTCCAAGGGTGGCAGGCCAGAGGAACCCTTCCAAGTATAAACAATTGCTACAGACGGTGAATTCCGTATATATGGGACCAGGTCGGGAATATGTGACACCAGCGAGTAAAGTTATCACTGTTGGGACTTATCACTGAAGCTGAATGCCACTAAGTTAAACAGGTCAAGCTTAAGGTTGGTGCACTAGATTTATTAGATGCTGTAAGGTTAAAACTAGTCACTAGCTTAGTCTCAATAAAACTTAGAAACACTGTTAAACTAGACGGCAGTTGACGTGCCTCTAAGTTGTACTAAATATGACATTATCCAACTTTAAAAGTCTTTAAGAACTATCAAAATCAAAGTCTCTATAGACTCAACAACATTATGGCATCCAGTGCTGGCCAACTTCAAGTCATTAAACATTAACAAAGTTACAAGTCCCTCAGGAAAGGCAAAGTCAACACTCACATAAAATGTTTTAGAGTCGCAGGTGGCCGGACACAGCGACTAAGCCCTCCATATAGACAGTCTCACTTTAAACCACCAAACTGTACCAGGGGCCTGACGGCTGAGTGGACATCGCTCGGGATTCGTAGTCCTGAGGTTCCGGGTTCGACTTCGGTGGAGGCGGAAACAAATGGGCAGAGTTTCTTTCACCCTGATGCTCCTGTTACCTAGCAGTAAATAGGTACCTGACAGTTAGACAGCTGCTACGGGCTGCTTCCTGGGTGTGTGTGTGCGTGTGTGGAAAAAGTTGATTGATTGACAGTTGAGAGGCGGGCCGAAAGAGCCAGAGCTCAACCCCCGCAAGCACAACTCGGTGAGCACCCACACACACTCGCTCGCTGGTCAGGGGCTCTCACACGTCACTCAACAAGCAGTTGGCTCGTTAACAAGGCGCTCAAAGTGCTGATCAACAACACCTTGAAACATTTTTATACAGACACGTAATACATACACAGATAAAGAGTATACAAATGTATACCGTTACTTAATAATGTATTTATAATGTCATTATTATTGCAATTTGTCAACAAAGTTCGGGCACGTGATATGACATGTACGTGCAGGTGAGCACAGGTGGGTGAGTAC